GTCTGTCTGTCTGTCTGTCTGTCTGTCTGTCTGTCTGTCCGTCTGCATGCCTGTCTATCTGCCTGTCTGTCTGTCTGTCTGTCTGTCTATTTGTCTGTCTTTTGTGCCACTATCTCCCCCTCTCTCTCTTTCTTTCTTTCTTTCTCTCCCCCTCCCTTTCTCTTTCTTTCTTACATGTTTTCTACCATCAAACATTGGACTAGGCAAAATAAATGAAGATTGCACATGAAGAGACAGAGACAGATGGAGAGAAAGAGAGAGAGAAAGAGAGAGAGAGAGAGAGAGAGAGAGAGAGAGAGAGAGAGAGTGAGTGAGTGAGAGAGAAAGAGAGAGAAGTAAACATTCGTGCCTACTAGATTTTAGAACTGGAAAAACTTAAGTGGCATTGGGGGAGAGAGGCATCGAGAGAGAAAGACAGAGAAAGATAGAGAGAGAAAGAAAGAGAGAGAGACAGAGAGATAGAGAGAGAGAGAGAGAGAGAGAGAGAGAGAAATGAGAGAGCGGGAGAGATGAAACAGAGGTGGGGGGGGTAGGCAGGGGGGAAGGGGGTCAATTTGAGTCAGGAACATGAAAAACTGACACAACAAACAGACTTGGGGGGAGGGGGGGGGGGGGGACAGGAAAAAAGAAGAAAAAAAATGTAAGTTGTGGGTTCGGAGGAGACGGATGGTGTGTGCATATGCAGACAGCTGTCGTGCTATTGATTGGAGCAGCGCCAGATTCACGTGCTATCGGTGATTCCTTCCGCTTCCCTACCACCGATTACTCTCCCTTTTTAGGTCTCTTCCGCCATCTCTCAGTCTGTCTGTCTATTTGTGTGCCTTGTCTGTCTGTCTGTCTGTCTGTCTTTCTGTCTGTCTGTCTGTCTGTCTGTCTGTCTGTCTATCTGCCTATCTGTCTATCTGTCTGCCTGCCTGTTTTTCGAGTCTGCCTGTTCGACTGCCTGGTTGTCTCTCTATCTGTTTGTCTGTCTGTCGGCGAACTATATCTATCTATCAACACACTTATTTACCATTGCGTGTAGTCTGCATTGATAGAGAGAGCTAGACTTAGTGTAAAAGATGGACAGGTAAATATTTAGAACTAGCTATGCCCCCTTTCGATGAAAGGAATGATTTGTGCTTTAACATCAACTGAAAGTCATTGGCCTACTATATTTACACTCTTCTGGAACGGAGCAATAAATCTTGAGAGATGCAAACGATTAGAAGGTCTAGATCTAGATCTAGATCTACACTCTCAAAACAAAATATGCCTCGCGGAATATCACTTCCAGCACTCCCGCTGTGAAGGAGAGCTACGCAGATTTGTTTCGTTTCTCAATGGAATAATCAAAAAGGCCAAGGAAGAACGGGAACTTTTTGTCCAATATATTTTTCTAAATTCAGGAAGCAAATAGTAAATCAAAAATTGAGCTCCGTCATGGGGACCTTTCTATGCTTTTGCAGCAACTTGCCAACTTTCAACTCTGTAGCTGTCATAGTTTTATGGGGAAAGTAACACATGTGTTTCCAAGTAGAAAAATATATTTTACATATCATCCTGCTGACAGACAGACGAAGAGGCAGACATGTGTACACAGATTACTTTTTTCCCAAAGTTTACAGATTTTTATAACGTTCACTTTATTTATCGGAGGACATAATTACTATTAAATACAGTTCTGGCCATAGTTTCACACATTTATCCCATACATAAATAGTAAAGACAAATAAGAACGAAACAAAAATATTCGATAAATTACCTACGCTTCCTAAAAAGACTTGGAGCTCTCTCTCTCTCTCTCTCTCTCTCTCTCTCTCTCTCTCTCTCTCTCTCACACACACACACACACACACACATACACACACACACACATACACACACACACATACACACATACACACATGCCGCTGGGAGCAATAAAACAAATAATCCCGTGCAACAGTCTATAGATTTTTTTCCTGTACAATTTCGTACGATTTAGTTGAAAGGAGAAAATAGGAAAGGAGAATAGGTATGATTCTTTCTTAAATTATACGTTGAACCTAAGCTCTTCAATGCAAGTGCCAAGTCCTGTTCTTTCATTCCAGGGGTAGGAAAGTGAAATAAAGTTAATTGGCAAAATGACACACATTTTGAACAGAAGGTTAAGGGTTTCGTAAACTGAGTTCATCGTTCTCTTCCATGCAAACTTGCTCTGTCACTTTCCAAAAGATACAAACACACTCGAGTATCTCGGTGATTCTTCTTTGATAAGCCAACAAAGGTGTGGTGTTGAGATTTCGTTAAGCCGGGGTATATGGCACTAGAATCTGTTTGTCCGGCTTCAGATACCTTCACCCTCAGTAATCACCAAAAGGAAGAGGGGTGTGAGCATGTGTTCGTGTTTGTTTGGTTTTTTTGTGTTTGTGTTTGTGTGTGTGTGTGTGTATGTGTGTGTGTGTGTGTGTGTGTGTGTGTGTGTGTGTGTAAGTGTGTGTGTGAGAGTGCGTGTGAGAGATAGAGAAAGAGAGAGAGAGGGGGGGACAGAGAAAGAGATAAACAGACTTAAAGAGATAGAAAGAGAGGGAGACGGGAAGAGAAAGAGGGCAGAGGGAGTCAGATAGAGAGAGAAAGTTAAAGATAGTTGGGGTGGGACAGAGAAAGAAAGAGACAGAGTGAGAAAAAGAAGGAGAGAGAGAGAAAAAGAAACAGGGACATAGAGAGACAGAGAAACAGAGAGAGACAGAGAGATAGAGAGAGACTCACACAGAGAGAGAGAGAGAGAGAGAGAGAGAGAGAGAGAGAGAGAGACAGAGAGAGAGATAGAGAGAGACACAGGGAGAGAGACAGAGAGATTAACGCTGATGGTAATTAATTTTTGTCGGAAAGGAAATTACATTTTTGACCTGCGGGGATTTGGGGGAAAAGGGGGGAGGCAGGCTGATAATCAAATACGAGGACACACGTAAGCACAATACATTAGATGAATAGAAATAATGAACTAAAAACTGCACACACACACAAGTAACGCACATGAGAAATCAAAATGTAAAATCAGCTTTCAAACAAACAGAAGTGTTCGCCCGTATGTCTAAGGATAGCTCAGACGTCGGTGGTATCTTAACGCCATTGATGACAACTGGCAGCCCCAATGGTCTCTCTAAGAAACGAAGCTGAGGTCAATCAGCAATTAGCCCGTGAGAGATTGGATCGATACAGGGAAAATGCCGCAATTGTTATCAAATTTAACCCTCACTCAAGACGAAGGAAGAGTGGTTATCTCTCGAGAAAATGACGACCTAGCTGCCTGTTTCTTTTCTGTGAAGTGGAAATAGATTCAGTCTATGTGAAAAACCTCTTCAGAAATATTGATAACACAATGCTATGATTTGGTCGGCGTGGATGTGGATACATGGAAGTGAAAGCACGACTTCTACAGTTAGGTACTCGAGTCTGTGTCTGCATGGATACAGTGGTGCGTAGATAAAGGGTTAGGATTCTCTTAAAGAAAAGAAACCCAACTATGTAAGCCTAGAGGAAAATGAGGTGAATTAAAAATAGATGTCTAAAGTCTGATTTCTTGAGCACTTTTTAAATTAGCCAATTTCCTCGTAGTACTGAAAAGTCGTACACGAAATGAGAACTTAACCTAAATCTTTTTCTCTAAGATTATATTTCCATTCCAAATCTGTTTGGAATAATACAACTCAAAGTCCAAATTTGAACACAAAATTTACTTCATTGCTCATTCTTAACTATGAACTAAAACATTGAACTATTTTGAAATTTGGCCTGCCCACTTTGGCTACATTAGGAAAAGCGACTGTTGAACCTTTGCCTAACTAAACAGACCAGTTTGTAGAGTTTATCGCTAATAGGTGTTAACATGTAGTACATGTCTTTGCATGGGTGTCCCTCCATGATTGCTAGATGATGATGAGGATGATGATGATGATGATGATGATGATGATGATGATGATGATGATGATGATGATGATGATGATAATGATGATGATGATGATGATGAGTCATCATCATCATCAACCCCATCATCATCA